AGGCAAGGTGGGTGAAGTGTCTTGCCCAAGGACACAACGACTGAGACGGCTGGACGGGGGATTGAACCAGCGACCTTCCGGTTCCAGGAAGACTCCCCTAACCACTCCACCACAGCCGCCCCCATATACTGTATATACGTATAAATTAAGGCAAAAAAGACAAAGGATTCTATAGAAGTTTGAATTTATTTTGACTATGGTCACTTTAAACAGTTACCRTAATGACTTTTTTAAAAATCGACACACAGGAAGTGAATGTAGCTGTGGTGTAACATCACAGACAACACACACCTAAATATCACTTTCCACATGACATTCGAGAAGAAAAAAAAAGACTGTACAAAATATTTTCTTTTAATCGCAGAAGATCATCCTAAAGCGATAGCTGGTGGCGGTCAATGAAAAAAAAAATAAAAAAAAAAAATCCTGAAGCATTCCCAGTGCCTGAGAGAAAACACCAGTTCATCACCATGGGGTCAAACCACTGTGCAAAACATGGACATTTGTTCATAGCTGTGCAAAAATAGCAGCATCATTATTCACTTTCGAAGCAACGGGTTCACAACACGTCACAATGACCTCCTCTCTGAAGACTCGACAGCAGGTTTTATCATTACGCTTGGTTTCAAAGATCACCTTTAGCTTATAGATACTGCAATGATACATGTGCAAATAATATGTCACATCCTAATAAGAATATTTTTCTCACTTTAAATAATCGTATTTCAAGAATTCTGAACAAACAGATTAGATTTGAAGGAAACTGAGGCCCCAAAGCACATTCTGCAGGACAGGATTGTTTGTTTTTGTGATGCTCAGATTAAAACCAGCATTTTCAAAGCAAGCATACAAAAAAAAAAAAATCAAAAATGGAATATGTACATGTAAACCATAAAGCTTGAGGCCATTTTACAGTTGGCACATAAACAATTTAAAAGAAAATCTCTTAAAAAGTGTACATTCCATCTAGTTTCCAGATTTTCTGAAGAACCAACAAGTATTCCTGTTTGAACAGATCCACTGTAAGGTAACATTACAAAGTAAGTTGTGTTGGAAATGACATTTTTTTACAACAAACAGGAGACTGAAATCAGAGATAAACCACTCGAGTAATAAAATAGCCTTACACAGGCGACAGCACGGTGCTTTATCTGCAGATTTTAAGAAGGTACTCATCGCAAAGTCGTGGAAACCAGTAAAAAAAAGAAAAAAAAAAGAACTCTGGTATAAATCCTGATGCAAGAAACATAATCCCCTTTTTTTTCCTGATCCCAATTAATATAAGTTAAAAAAAAAAAAACGTCTGCGAGCAAAATCAGAGAACTGCCACATGCATTTCTTCACCCACAAAATCAACCGAAATGCCCGAAAACAGCTCATCGCGTCCACAGAAGACCCATTTAGCACTGAGAAATCTGACAATTTGTATGTGGTATTTATGCTCAGATTTGTTGAGAGACGTAAAAAATGCTTTGTTTACATTGAGCGCAGACCCACATTTTAGAATTAGATAACAATAAATCTGGAAAACTACTGAAGTAAACTCTTTCAAACTGAATCATTTTGAGTGCCTTTAATGTGTTGGTAAAATAAAATGATTTAATAAATAAATATATATCCATGATTTAACTGTGCTCTTGTTTACCTACTAAAACAGCTAAAATAACTGGTCATAACTGGTTATTGGCAGGGCTGTCACTAGGTTTTAAGGACAAGGGGGGCTTAGCCCCCAAGAGACGCACAATTTTTGTATATTATATATTTCTCTTTTGTGTGTGTGAGAGTGTATGCGTGTGTGTGTGTGTGTG